CACACACACACACACACACACACACACACACACACACACACACATATATATATATATTTAAATATATATATATATGTGTGTGTGTGTGTGTGTGTGTGTGTGTGTGTGTGTGTGTGTAAATCTTTACTCATGTCTGTGTATCTCCTTATGTTCAATGAATGTATACTGAATTAGTGTTTTATCAAGTCATGTCATGTAAACCCTTTTCCTTTTAAAAATAAAATATTGTGTAGTCCATTTAGGTACAAGTCTGATACAAAAATAAAAAAACACTTTGAAAAATGTAACCCAATATTTATAAAGATTTAATTGTATATCTTTAGAGAAGTTCATTAGAGAAGGTTTAATTTATGTCTCCAGAGAAGTTCATTTTATTTTTAAAGATATGTAAGTAGATCTATATGGATATCATACTGATTAGAAATAATCTTTAGTAAAAAATTGAACTAAGTCGAATTTGATTTATTTTATGAGCTGATGTCCCTTTGTCGTTCGTTGCATCTAATTTTAGCCATGTAGTCGTTCGTTGCCAAAGGACGATGCTGTAGTATCCATTCCACTGGAGTCGTCTCTGGTAAAGTTAAGAGACATAGGCAAATTTGTGTGGGTGTGTGTAGAAAGTAGAGAATCAACTATTTCCTTATCATTGGATCCCCACTCTCCATGCAGATGGTGAGCCCAAGAAACGACTAAAAATCGATGCAGTTTTGCACCAAAGTTAGGGAATGTTCATTAAGCGAAATGCCATCAAACTTACGAGAATCCATATCCGGATTTTGTGGACGGGTTTGACTCTCAAGCCCTACAACCACGGGATGTTTAGCTCCAAGGCTTGGCATAGGAGGTTTGCATCAAGCCCTACAACCACGGGATGTTTAGCTCCAAGGCTTGGCATAGGAGGTTTGCATCAAGCCCTACAACCACGGGATGTTTAGCTCCAAGGCTTGGCATAGGAGGTTTGCATCAAGCCCTACAACCACGGGATGTTTAGCTCCAAGGCTTGGCATAGGAGGTTTGCATCAAGCCCTACAACCACGGGATGTTTAGCTCCAAGGCTTGGCATAGGAGGTTTGCATCAAGCCCTACAACCACGGGATGTTTAGCTCCAAGGCTTGGCATAGGAGGTTTGCATCAAGCCCTACAACCACGGGATGTTTAGCTCCAAGGCTTGGCATAGGAGGTTTGCATCAAGCCCTACAACCACGGGATGTTTAGCTCCAAGGCTTGGCATAGGAGGTTTGCATCAAGCCCTACAACCACGGGATGTTTAGCTCCAAGGCTTGGCATAGGAGGTTTGCATCAAGCCCTACAACCACGGGATGTTTAGCTCCAAGGCTTGGCATAGGAGGTTTGCATCAAGCCCTACAACCACGGGATGTTTAGCTCCAAGGCTTGGCATAGGAGGTTTGCATCAAGCCCTACAACCACGGGATGTTTAGCTCCAAGGCTTGGCATAGGAGGTTTGCATC